ACAATTTCAGACACCTGATCCAAACAAATTAAATAACATATTTTACACAATTCTTTCTAAAACTATGTCATTGATTATGAAGTTAAAGAAAGATTCTATAATGGTACGTTATGACAATTATGTTATTAATACATTTTAATGTTGTGAGTAAGACAGGTAGGTTATACTTTTTTGTATAAATTTGGTGGCTTTTTGTTTATAAATTTGAACTACTTAACAAGGATTAGGCGGTATAGTACATCTTCCTGTTGCAAAGCACGGGTACAGAAGCTAGTTATTATATTAAAAATGTAGTGTAAGATAGATCTTAAAAGTATTCTTTGCATAACTGTTTAAAAAGATTTCAGTATCAATAATTTCAAATTCGTTTTTTTTGTCATTTAAAGGATAAAAGGTTGATGTGATAGGATAAACTTTTAAATTTATTCAAAGTAGGTTTCTTGACAAGAGATGAGGGGTGAGGGAATTAAGGCTTAGCTGTTGATGAAGTTACTCGAAAGTTAACTGTTCATCTAAACTAAGTCTTTGAGTTGCTATCAACTGAAAACAAACTTTACCTAAGTTTTTATTGTGATGCTATAACATTATTTTAACTGATACAAGGAAATCTTCAAGAAATCTTTCATCCTTGTTGTACATTATAAACAGACCACATTTTGATGTTGTATATTTCAAAATGAGGGGTTGAAAAAAAAATTAACTTTTACTCGTTTGACATAAGAAAATGTAAATCAAAATTAAAATAAATACAAAACCCATTTTTATGGGGTCAGTTATAATTTTTTTTAGGTTCCTAAAATAACAAAAAGATTTTGAATATTTTGTTCACAGATTCACTAGGAAGATTATAAAATATCTTTCCTTCTTTCATGAATTTGTGTGTTTATAGTTTCAAAGTTACTTCGAATAAATTTAAAATGGCACAATGTTTGATTCATCTCCAAAAAAGTAAAATCAAAAATATTTTGTTGACATTGACTACATGTCAACTGCTAGTACAATAATGATGAATTACTGATTGGTTAATTTTTTATTATTTTATTTTAAAACCTAGCTATTGCTTGACAGGCAATTAAGACAAACATTCTATTCAATTTCCACAAATTGTTTTGTTAAAATACCAGTTTGTGGCAGCACTGAGAAATCTCTACTTTGAGCAGCTGGTCTCTGCTGGTTTCTTAAGATTTCTGTGTCTTATTGCGCGATTGCTGGTGTGTATAGGCAAGAGTGTGTAGATGTGTTTAATTTTTTTGTAAAATTTTTGTTGTTTTTAAAATATTTTTTTCTAAGAAACGCACATAAACTGTTAAATATGTAGATGTATATTAATTAGATTAAGTTATCTCATTGTGTATTTGATTTCTTTGTAAATATGTATATCAGGTAAAGTGTAAAAAAAGAGCATGTGGCCCTAACTTTGCCTGAAAAAAGAAATAATTTTTTATTTAATTTTATACTGGTCAATATTTTTTTTACTTTTGCTGGGCAAAAAATTTTAAATATTAAAATTGACCAACACAGATGAATTTCTGAAGCTATGATGTGACACTCTACTTTTCCCTTAGGAGTCAGTTGAACAGCAATATAAATTCATTTATTCTTTCGCTACTGTCAACGAATTGGTAAATTACATCGCAGTTAATTCATTTTGTGTTAAAACTGGTGAATACTCTTATGGTTCTTGTCGTATTAATATCAAATTGAAGATACAGAAAGGACTTTAAGGAATGGAAAGAGAAACCATGGGGGGGAGAAATAGGAGTTTTAAATTATACTTCTTAAATACAGTAGTTTCCTTTTCCAACTGACATTTTTACTAAACAAGCACCCTTAATAAAACTGTATATAAAACTATTAATACATGTTTTTATTTGGACTGTCGGATCACAAAAGTTGTAGACAAACAGATATGATTGAAAAAGTTGCTCAAGACAAGTTACAAGTGGGAAAAGCTAATTTGAAGTTTTAATAAGTAAATTATTATTGTTGCAAAGTTTTGATTGTGATATTAGCTTTGATTGTTTTCTAACTTGTGTAACAAACAATCTAATTAAACGCTTGGATTGAAAAGAAACCCTTGTTGAGAATTCACTTTAATGCGTAATTTAATAGCTAATTGGGTTTACTTCATGAAAGTGATTCTTTTTATGATTTCCCTTTGTGAAATTATTATTTTCATTTCCTCTGTTCCTAAAGGTTTATTTAATTTGATAGGCTTGAAACATAAATCTTATATCCAAAACATTTTGTAAAATGATATGTTACTGTTATAAGTAACTAGTATATCAATATATATATTTTATATTTGGTTCGGTGGTGGCTAACAATTCATTCTGATTTTACCTAGGACCAAAATGTCTGAAGATAAAATAAATATGCCTTGAAAGAAAATATAATAACACTTTATTTACCCCCAACATAATTTAAAGGACCTTTTTTGTCCTAACACTACCACAACAAATGTTGTGTTTGTTGTGTACAAAGGTTTTAGGTGATGCCTCGGTTCTAGCCTAACATAGCCAGAAACCCAACCTAAAATAGGAGTTTAATTTCAATCAGATTTTATTTTATTAAAACACTAGCTGACCCGGCGAACTTCGTATCGCCTAAGTTATAGGTTTCCCCTAAGACAGACCGATGGAAAGAAAGTACCGTTACGTTTAATTTTCAAGATGATCTCGTTCGCATCGCTCAATCACGTCCTGGTTAAAGTTCGTTCGCTACGCTCACTCACCTTTGGGTTGGAGCTCGTTCGCTACGCTCACTCACCTTTAGGTTGGAGCTCGTTCTCTGCGCTCACTTGTCTTCAGGTTAGCTCGTTCGCTACGCTCACTCGCCTCCAGGTTGAAGTTCGTCCGCTATGTTCCGTCAGCTAAGTTACTTGTGCAATTAAACTTGAAAACGAATGTGATTCTGGAAGAGTTTACCATTGTTGCATAGTATTGGAATTTGAAAATATGGCCAATACAAACTTAACTGTAAAATGTATTGTTCTTCGAAACCTTTATGGTATAAAGACTTTTAAAATAAAATTACCGACTCATAATTTTGGCAGGTCTAAATAAAACTTTGGTTCATTAACAATACGTGTTTAGTTGGGATATGTGTTATATATATAGTTTACTAGCTGTAACCCGCGGGCTTTGCCCCGTTTAATTCCTTAATTTTCAAGATTATCTCGTTCGCATGGCTCGATCACGTCCTGGTTGAAGTTTGTTCGCTACGCTCACTCACCTTTAGGTTAGAGCTCGTTCGCTGCGCTCACTTGCCTTCAGTTTAGCTCGTTCGCTACGCTAACTCGCCTCCAGGTTGAAGTTGGTTCGCTACGCTCACTCACCTTTTGGTTGCAAATTAGTTGTTGTCATAAATGTAAAAGAAATAATAGTGCTGCACCCTGTTGGTAATCCTTGTAACTTTAATGCTATTGAACATCATAGAACAGAACCAACTTGTTTAATTGAAACAGCTGTTAAGATTCATTAATTCCATTTCTCATAAGGTTAACATGGGAAACTCCAGAGCCACTGGGGCGGAGCCCTTTTAAGAATTTCGAAACGGGAAATAGTTTACGTCCGATTCGCATACCTACAGAATTTACACACCAAATTTCATAACGATCGGTGAAGTCGTTCCGGAGGAGTTTGCAGACAAACACTGTGACACAAGAATTTTATTAAAACACTAGCTGACCCGGCGAACTTCGTATCGCCTAAGTTATAGGTTTCCCCTAAGACAGACCGATGGAAAGAAAGTACCGTTACGTTTAATTTTCAAGATGATCTCGTTCGCATCGCTCTATCACGTCCTGGTTGAAGTTCGTTCGCTACGCTCACTCACCTTTGGGTTGGAGCTCGTTCGCTACGCTCACTCACCTTTAGGTTGGAGCTCGTTCGCTGCGCTCACTTGCCTTCAGGTTAGCTCGTTCGCTACGCTCACTCGCCTCTCTCGTTCGCATCGCTCAATCACGTCCTGGTTGAAGTTCGTTCGCTACGCTCACTCACCTTTGGGTTGGAGCTCGTTCGCTACGCTCACTCACCTTTAGGTTGGAGCTCGTTCGCTGCGCTCACTTGCCTTCAGGTTAGCTCGTTCGCTACGCTCACTTGCCTCCAGGTTGAAGTTCGTTCGCTACGCTCACTCACCTTTTGGTTGCAAATTAGCTGTTGTCATAAATGTAAAAGAAATAATAGTGATGCACCCTGTTGGTAATCCTTGTAACTTTAATGCTATTGAACATCATAGAGCAGAACCAACTTGTTTAATTGAAACAGCTGTTAAGATTTATTAATTCCATTTCTCATAAGGTTAACATGGGAAACTCCAGAGCCACTGGGGCGGAGCCCTTTTAAGAATTTCGAAACGGGAAATAGTTTACTTTCTATTCGCATACCTACAGAATTTACACACCAAATTTCATAACGATCGGTGAAGTCGTTCCGGAGGAGTTTGCAGACAAACACTGTGACACGAGAATTTTATATATTAGATGTTAAAATTTAACAAAAAAAAGTCCCCAACTTTAACTCCCCGATTTAAAGTAATATATTTATTTCTGTTAAACAAAAATATGAGATTGGTATAAAGGTTTTTGCTCTATAATCTAATTCCAAATTTACCACATTCTACAACGCATACTTGGAGGTGAAGTGATAAAAGGAAACTTTTCAGTCCTAACTTCGCCTCTTAATAAATGGCTTTTTTTATTTCATTTAATTTCATTTCACACCAAATTTAGTTATAATTGAAAGGTGGATTAATATAACAAACACAAAATGAGAAACAGAATTATTTGAAAAAATAAATAAATAAACAAATTTTTTAAGTTGATCAATTTGATTGAGAAGCCTAGATTTTCAATCAATATTTTGATTGAAGAAAAGTTATTTAACGTTTAAGTTAAAAAAGCACACCCAACTTAAATCAAACAAAATTCACAAAAATTATTTTTTATTAGACACTCTAAAAACATTTTCACACAAAGGGAACAATAACAAAACATGATATAGCCGGAATGACATTGATATATTTAACTTAAATTAGTGACAAACTACAAAAATTAATTGTGGGGATCTAAGCATAAGAAGCAGGGGTGTGTGTCATTGATCAGTAGTCAGTGATGCTGTGACTTCTTAATCTTCAGAATATTCAAATGGTTCTGGGGGCTCAGGCTCCTTCTCTTCATCTGGTTTCGGTCCAAAGGCTGAAACAAAATCAATTTGAATAATTTTGTAAAGTATTACCCTCACAATTATTGAGGGAAAGCCTCATAAGCCAACTATCACAAAATAACATCAACATAACATATAAGACTGATTTAAATTTTCGAGGAAGAGTTTATTGGCCTTATGTATAAAATACCTTTTACCAAAATCAGCACTACTGTTGTATCAATTAAACAAATTAAAATAATAGATTTAAAAGCATCCACACTCTTCCTCTCATCAGGTAGGACTAGATTCAACTTTTACCTTCCACCTCCCACTAATGGAAATTGTTGTGCAATACTGTTGTTTGAAGCCTATCTTAAGTTTTAGATTACCTACCAAATAATTACAGTTGTTCTAGACAAAATATCTGTTTTGGTATTAAGGATATAAAAAAGGAATTTCCTCTCTTTAGCTAAAACTGATCGAGCAACATTCAATCATCATCATACCTGCCACAGGCTCGACAAGCTGTTCCTCACTGCCACCTTTAGTATGTCTGACCATCACGATGCCTCCAATGGTGACGTCTTTGAGAGGTTGGTAAGGGCTTCCTTCCACCAGGGAGATCACCTTTAACTGTAAAACACCACAACAGATATAAAACATACAAAATTATCATCATGATATCGACAATTCTTAAGCTGTTTTTACACGAGGCCAGTGGGTAGGCAAGTTACGGGCCAGGTTACCTGCTTGTAACGTATTCCAAGTTACCTGAAGCAAGTACAGTAATCTGCACACCAACTAGCTTCGTGTGAGGTGTTAAATTCTGAACAAGGCAAACCCATACAGTTGCACATAGCAATCAATTTATAGATATTTCAGTTCCAAACTCACTAATTTAGTCATCTTGGAATTGGAACCTCGAGCAGTCAAGGTTTATGAGGGTTCACACAGATTTTACAAATTAAACTTGAAACCTTTTTAACTTTAGAGCAGTTTTTTCTTATAATCCAAATTTAAATAAAAACCTTTTCTTATTAACATAGACTGTCCAAGACACATTCAAGGTTTGTGATAAGAAAATAGAATATTATTTACTGCGATGTTGTCTCTCAGGATTATCATACATTTTTTACTTAACAACAATGTTTTAAAGGAGAGATTTTGTGTGAATGTTTAGTGTACTATGTCAATAAAACTATTTTACAAAATGTGGCATCTAAGGAAATAACCAAAGCACACATTCATGTTTAATAACATTAATGCTTCCCATGGAAGATTCAGAACAGATATAACATAGTGCCTACCTGAGCTTTCATCACTCGTGCTGGGTTGTGGAGGATCTCAAAGTTCGGCTCTGGTTTCTTCTCTTCTTTTTTCTCTTTTTCCTCCTTCTCCTTCTTTTCCTTTTCCTTCTCTTCTTCCTTTACTTCATCCTAGAATAAAAGTGTGATGTCATAGACAATTGCAGAACAGTTGGCATACTAACCCATTGCACAGGAATGTACCCTAATTGGATTTTAAAACTAATTTCTTAAGCAACTAATAGATTTAAAAGAGCTAATTACGTTTCACTTGCTTTGCAAATTGAATCAGTTGGCTTGCTCGAACGCAAGTTTTAATTGGCGGTGAAGTTGGACTTTATTATTTCTATATTTTACACAGATCTTGCTTTTGCCTGTTTATTTATCACAAGAAATATCTTTCATCTAAATATTTTTTCTTCCCTTTATATTTAATCTGATAAGTGATTTAACAAGGGTAGTTGTTAGAATATTAAATATTCGCACAAACCTAATCTATTAATTCTTTTAATTAAGTTTTGAGTACACTTCCAGTACTTGATTTGTAAAAAATTATGTGCCGGAACTGTAACCTATTTAATGTATTTATCTATCCATTTATACCAATAGATCTATTTATAGAGTATCTATTTATGCCAATATTTTTATCCTTCTAAAAGAGAGGTACAGGAACTCGAGCACTGCTTCTTACTGCAAAAATGTTGTCAAAAGATTCAGATTATATAAGTGAGTAAAAAAATTGCATTTCAAAATTTTCACTTTTAACATAAAAATGACAAACCACAGTTACTAAATAATTACTTACAATCTTATATCACTGATATTGATCTAAAATTTTGTTCTTTTATTTTTTATTTTGTTAAATTGACGCTGTTGGCTTTCTCGTAGATTTTTCCAAGGAAATGGTCTAAATCCTCATCTTGTTGCTATTTAACCTTAACCTTTTGTTAGATCATCATTTATTAATAGCCAGATGACAAGTGACATATAGTCCATAATCAATTTAGCTGGGAACTGAACCCAAATGAAACTTTTATTTTACATTCCCTTAAGTTTATGGATTTTCATTGAACTGTGATCACATTTTGAACCCCAAACAGCAGTTGCTTACCACTTCCATCTTGTCTGGTACGCTGTCGGCTGAAGCCTTGGATGTGCCGCGGCGCCTGGCCCGGGCGGCGATGCTGAGTACTGCGGTGGTCACTTTCTCTCTCTCCTCGCGCCGCTTCTCCTCCAGGGGTGGAGGGTATGCGTACACAGAGGGACGGGCGTTGCTACGAACCTCCAGCTTGGGCATCTATACAACAAAAATATTTAGGTAATGATTTTGGAGGTTATGTTTCAGAATGAAGAATCCTTTGTACAGTTGGAATTTGAAATGTCAATAATATCTCTCGGTATAGTATTTTTGGTCTAAATTATACATTTAAAATTTGTACAGTAGACTCCCTCTTATCCGGACACCTTTTAACCGGACATTGGTTTAACCGGACTATATTTGGCAGAAATTACATCTCTCAACCAGACAATTTGTATCAGCACATCGGTCAACTCTTCTCATGGGAAAGATTTGAGACCAGTGATCACTTGTCTAAATACAATGCTCTACTAAATTTTAGTCAAATACTGTATACAGTATACATTTAAACGAGTTTTTGGGGATGTTGGTTTAACCGGAAAAACTGTTATCCGGACTAACCTCGGTCCTGAGGAGTCCGGATAAGAGTGAGTCTACTGTATTATGAAAACAAGAACGTTTTGAAAATAAAAAATAAATGTTACTGGGCTAAAGATTAAATTCACAAAAACAAACCAAAAACTGTTTATCAGATTGTGTAAATAACATCTTTGAAATTCTGATCCCTAAAGATTACTGTTGGTTAGTTTATGTAAAACATAAAGCCTCCTGTGTCCTACTAGCTCAATAGTTTTAGCAAGAGAATTATTGCCTTGAAGAGCTAAATTGAACTACGTTGTTTTAACGTTCGTCATTTTGAACGCACCTCGAGATAAAGAGCTAGAGCATTACTTTGCGTTGACAGTTTTGAGCTAAAGCATTACCTTCAGTTGACAATCGAGAACTAAAGCATTTTTTTAAATTATAAGCTAATAGCTAGGGGTATAACTTGAGTTAAGAGTTGAGTACCAGAACTTAGGCTTGAGTTAGGAGTTGATAGCTAAATTAAAACTTCTAGTCAAGAGGTGAGAGCTAGAATATTACCTTGAGTTGACAGTCTAGAGTTAGAATATTACCTTGAGTTGAGAGTTGAGAGTGATGAGACAGGTTGGAGTGAAAGCTAGAGCCAGACAGTGAGCCAGGGGGAACCAGTACCAGTACTGAGTGGCGACCAGCACACCTACCACAGCCAACATGTTGGTGTGGCCTGTGCGAGACTGGAGGGTGAGAGTTACGTTGCGACCACCTGTGTGACACAAAGAAAACATTCATCATTTAAATTTAAAAAAACAATAGTCTTTGTCCAGCTATGGAAATCAATGAATCAAAATGTTTCTGGATTGTCAAGAGGAGACAGTTTGAGCTTATGGTGGGTGCCTTTCCTATGGAAACAGCCTTCCCTATAGCTTCTCTTGAGAATTGGAAGAAAGTCTCTTGGTTTGTAAAAGTTCATGTAAGAAAATAAATGGAGGACCAGTAACATCCCAGGTCTTCCCACAGTTAGAACCTAGAAGAAGTTGACATTTCATTTCCATCTCAATATCATTATTCCTCAAATCCACAAAAAAAAATTCTTTTTTAAACAGTTTTTTTTATAGGCTAGGCCTTACACATTTTATGGAGGATATTTGGAAGTCGATGAATACACAGAAGAGAAGCAACAATTTTGATGACCATTTTAGTCTTAAGAACTGTTTTTTTACATTAATATTAAGTTGAAGTAACTTAATTAATATAGTCATTAAAACTCAGTACCAATATTTGAAGATAAATTATTCTTTTTACTTATTTATAGGGGATAATGGAAATATATAAAAACATAGGCTTACCAGCGTCAATAATTCCCTGGGCGAGTATAGCTCCAAATTTGGCCATCACATCTTCATGTTTGTCTACAATCACTTTAGCGTATAGTGCACGGAAGTCCTTCACCTACAAAATACACAAAATGAAAAACTTTGAACAATCAAACAGCAAAATAAAACCAACACAACAAAATGCAAGTTTTCTAAACTTAAAAGCTATAATATTGAATATTAAAATATATGCCGAGTCTCATGATTTAGTTTTAACCAAAATTGGAACTACTCAAATTTCGATTTTGATCAAAGTCGAGCATAAAACAACTTCACAAAGTAAACAGTGTTGGTAACACCAAAGTTACGCTGATAAACGTAACGTCAACCGAAGCCACAACATTGGCAAGTAACGTAACAACAGAGAAACAGAAACCAATCAGACCGCAAACGAGGGAGCCGGAGCAAAACTAATGTTTGAAGTCAAGCTATTGATCTTTGAAACTCCGCTGTTAAACATTACAGAGTTTGGGATAATGAGTCTTTAAAGTATACTCAAAGTCAAGACACACCCTCTTCAAGTTTTAATTGTTGGAATATCTCATACGGAGAATACCTGTGTCTAACGATTAATTGAGATAAGACCGAGGGGAAAAAAATAGTTAATAATTATGGTAAATTAAATTTGGATTAAGGTTAAAAACCAATTAGTTTCTTACAATTAAACTTATAAAGTTAATAATATTTCTATTGGTTTTATGTCAATTTGTCTCAACAACATCTAGACATCAACATTATAAGTTTCAAAAAGTGTTCCCATGCATTTTTATCACTACTATCCATTCCTGGGACTAGATCACTTGATTGTGATAATGCTCTAGGACAAACTTGAAGTAATTTGTGAAACTTTTCTGGGCTAGAACCTAACATCCTAGGATGTGAAGGTGTGCCATACAAAATATTTCATTTGTGAAATATAGAAACCAAATACTTTTTAACGTTTACACAATATAGTGTCGGTTTGTATCAGTTGTTTGATCAAATATAGAAATAACTATTTATGCTAGACGAGATGAATTTGGAAAATGGCTTTAAATATAACTTGATATGATATAACTCAATTTCTATCCTATACACAATTATAATTATTTAAAAAAAAATTTTCTTACCTTGGGGCATGTTTGCTCTGTGTGTTGAATGAGGATCATAGCGGAGGCGATCAGAGCTCCCTGACGTACAAAATTAACAGGATCATTGGTCATCGGATCCAGCAGAGCGATGGCTTCCTACAACAAACAAACATGCACGTAACAAATTAGAAATTAATATCAAACAAATAAACTACAAAAATGTACAACGTAAATATACTTTGATAAACTTACTTTGTAGTTGTTGCGAAAACAACCATGCAACAGCAACCAAATAACTTAAAAATTAAACATAAAGATAAATGCTGCATGTCGCTCTAATAATAAACTTGTCTCGAAACAGCAAAAGTATTAAAAAGTCCCAAGTTTCTTGTAGAGAGTTTGCTCTTTACTATTATTCTTAGCCATTACAAAGAGAGTGGAACCGATAGACACGGTTGAGAGCTGTTGAAAGTTTAGTCCCGAGTGTTTTCGCATGTTTAAGTCAAGTCAGCAAAGTAGCGCTCCTTACATTTGTATAACTTCTGATAGTTCTGTGTAACTTAAATAGAACATTCTGATAAGATCTAAAAATAATAATGTATTGATTTTTGTATCATCTATTACTTAGAGAATGGTAATGGGCATTTTAAAAATATATTTTTTTATGTGAGAAAGCGGTATGTCTCTAACTATGCAAAATTTTAATATCAAACAAAGCAGTATTAGTACTATGTGAAATTTTGAGTAACTCTGCAATAAAAAAACCATTGCATTACAAATGTTGGCATTGACCTAACTATTATGAGGAGTAAAAGTTTAGTGTTTGTTCAAATATAAGACAGGACAAGTAAGTTTACAATATAATAGTATCTAGTAAATACTTTAAAAAATTCAAAATATTTTTTTTTTTAAGTATGAAACGCTACTTTAATAGAAATGTCACTGTTCAACTTAGCTAACTCAAGTTTGAACACAGGGAGTGCCTCAAAGGGTAATAAGTTACTGAACAATTACCAATTTCTAACTATGACACTTATTATTCTAACTTACTCACAACTAACTAGTCTAACTACACCACTGCTAAAAGGCTACTGCTGCACTAACTGATCTTCCTATATCACCAATAACAAGTGTAAATACTAAACCACTAACTAGGGTAACTATGACACCACTCACTAGTATAACTATCGAACCACTAACTAGTTTAAGATCACTTATAAAAAGACTAACAAAGCAACGCTAACTAATCTACTAAGACCAGTAACCAGGATAGTTATGAAACCACCAACTTGTATAACTACTAAACCAATAATTAAGGTATCTTACACTAACTAGTGTAACTACCACACCAATAACTTCTCTAACTACTGTACCACTATAACTAAATTATCTACCACCCCAGAAAAGTGAGGTACAGAAATAAATTGCTTATAAATCATCCGTGGGCTTTCAGCTCTAACATGTTGTGCCCAAAATATACTTTTGACGAGCAATGAAGAGTCAGTGCGGCGAGCACTGTGTGGTAATTCTTATCGCACAGAACACAGGGTCTTCCTCCACCATAAGCGTTGTAGTACTTGTGGATGACTTATCCCCAGACACCAGAGACTGTGTAAGACACAGCTTAAGTGTAACACTGAATGTTTCCTCTGTACCTTACTTCTCTACGCTACAACAACACTATCAAGTCTAACTAGATCTGATTACAGTCACACTCTTCTCACCTTAAGACCAGTGCCGGCGCAGGCTATCCCCAGTGCCATAGCTGCTCCGTACCTCACATGGGGGTTGTAACTCTCAGCCAATAGTGACACAACACTCGGACATTGCTCAGGGTTTCTGCAACAGACGGATAAATACTGATTATTATAAATCCAGATAGGCCCAGCTGGACATATCTCAACCCACTTATGAGTAAAGGTTGGTTGTGGAATGGAGTGAAATGTTTTGTGTAGCTTTGTTACTGACTAAGACCAGCTGTTTCTTTAGCCCAATGATCAAAGATAGCTGGGCTCAGTTTAAAAAAAATTTCTGAAATTCTCAGGATCGAACCAGCAGCCTTTCAACTGTTAGGTTAAAAGTGAAATATTTCATGTAAAAAAAAATTTAAATTGATGGTTTAAATAATTGTCATCTCTCTTGTAAGGTTATTTAGATCAACGTATTTTCAAAAGTTCCTCTTAAATACTCCTTTCGTAGAACCATTAAATTAATTAAAACAATCTTTTGACCATGAATGGATTATGGTTGTGAATTAAACCAACCATACGATCCAGTCTAAATTAAATTACTTATAACTAGAATTACATTTACAGACAACATTAATTTCCCATTCTTTTAAAATAAATAAAAGTAATATAATTTTGACCAGAATTTGAAATTGCAAACAATCCATTTCAAGACATTCGTTTGAGTAAAAAAAGCTACACTCATTCAATAAAATTAGACAAAATAAATTACATAATAATTTAATTTTGAACCAAATTAAATAACTCATTGGCTATAAGTTTATTACCTTTTCCCCATAATATTCATCCAGTGATGTTCATGACAATAGCAGAGAAGAGACACCTGTTTCATGTAATATCGGACAGTTTATCGTGTCGCTTCCAGCAGACTATGACACAACACCGCTTATCTCTTACACCAGTGTTACTTTTTGAAATTCATTTTTCCATTGAAGTCTCTAACCATCTTTTTTTATCAATTTAAGCTATCGTATAAGTTAATCATTAAGAGACATTTTAAATACTTAGATCGACTTTTTTTAAAGCGAAAATGTTTACATTAATTAAGATAGGCCTACATGTAACAATCTTTTAATTTTTAATCAACAAAAATTTATCAAACCTAACTAATTGCTCGATTCACAAAGACACTATTTTATTACAAAGATAATTTATATACAATGTGGGTATTCTGTTCAACGTTTTTCAATTGGCTGTAGTGTTATATTAGAAAATATTAAAATATAAAATAAAACCGAATCACAATATGTCATTAAAAAACTTGTTTTCAAATATACGTTAAAAGAAGCAAGTTCTGTTCAATGGCAAGTTATTCTTTTCTGTTTTCATTCTAAATTCAATTTAATTTAAAAACCCATGTTTCAACATTTAAGGAAACATTTATCCCAATCCCGTGCAAGGAAGCAATTCTAGTGATGATAGCCTAATGGAGAATGACTCAACAATAAAAACTTTCACGCATCAAGAGCGCCTGCCGATGTGTAGATGCAATGTAGGTACAGCATCTGAATTGCCGCCCCTCCGATTGAAGGCATTTACGTTGTTGGTTTGAGTGTCCAATTAGAAATATTTAATTCTTTTCAACAAAGCACTTAATGCACCATTTTCAGTATAACGCAACCAACTGTTTTAATGACAAAAGATTTAGATGATACATAAGATAACATTAATATTAAGTCAGGAGCAAAATGTAAAATGGAAAACTATAGACTTGTAATAAATACGAAAATAGCTGTGCATCAAATAAACCAACATATTCCCACTATATTTCACAACACTAATACTGTTCAGCAATTAAACCAATTCCCAACTCATAATTTCGTTTCTCCATTTTTACGTCCTGAAACGAAGGTAATTCCCAGCTAGAGTGCTATACATCTCTCCGTATGCAGCTCTGAAGGTATAGTTGTAGCTTTAGCTGGCACGCTGCCTTATTGTAAGCTACGGCGACAGGTACAGCGCTGCTAAAGGCGACAAAACGGCCAATCCAGATTTATAGTTCCCCCGTGCTCGTGGAAAATATTTCAATTGCTAACACCTTTCCTTGTTTACCTTTGGGGGATTTGCCAGCACCATTTGTAACAATAAACTGTTCTTTACATACGGTTGTGGATCGTTATCAGCCGATTAACAAAAAATCAATTGTTTAATGAAATAATATTGGTGAATTGATTAATGTATGTATCGTGTGCAATGTAGAGTTTATAATGTAAAATTAGTAAATTTTGTGTACCAACATTTTCTTTATAAATAAATGTATTTTCAGCGTTATATGTTATAAATCACAAGGCTCTCTTTCAAAATGAGGGAATACTAATTTGATAAATTGGTTGGTAAAAAAAAACTATGTGTAACAACTTATGGACATTGCACAATTACTTGAAAAATATAGGTGATTAGAAATGCGCCTGCATGGTTTTGCTGCATTATTTTGTAGTTTGCAGTTTTTACACCTTTATTCTGTATTTTTTTGGTTTGCTTTGTGACGTATGCTGTAGCTAGATTGATGCATGTTTGAATGACAAAGCCTATTGTATTGTTTGTACCGAATGGTTAATAACATAATTTATCATTTATCACATAGTTGACATTTAACAACTTCTCTGTATAGATATTGGGTGTAAAAACTGTCGTAAAAAGCATGCAAAAACAATAAGGTAGTTCGTATGACAAAAGTTTATATTTTTGAACAAATCCGGATTTGTAACATCAAATTTTGACAAAGTATAAACATTGGCAAATCTTTTTTCACGAATGAATATTGAGACGAATGAAAACCTAACGAAAACATCGTCCGATTTAAAAGCGATCCCCGAAATGAAATCATAACAAATGCTGAGCTGCGTCAGACCATAACGTTTATCAGTTCCCCAATCTTACAATGTTGTTAACCTCGAAACTCGATAAACACAACCATAAACCCTTCATAAACCGCAAAACTGTCGTTATGGCCTTCGATATGGACGCGCTGGATCGGATAAACGATAAACCGAGTAACGGAAGTGATATGGACCCGAGGCGACTTCCGGTTACGAAGTGGCGCGAAAACACAACGCTCCTGCTACCTATCGGACGAGATCGCAAACATCTTCATCACGTTCAGCGGATAATTGGAATGGAGAACTAAAGCGTAACTATTTCGTAATGACTATGTTTATGGCTGAATCTGGAAGAAAAATGCTCTTCAATCCTTTTTAAATAGGTAGTAACGAGTTAAACTGTTAGAAATTTGTATTGGTGGAACATTTTTAGGAACGAGTTCAAGAACACTAGTTTTCAGTTAATTAATATAAAGGTGCATACTGTACATGTTTTGCGATAGTTTAAAATATAAGAGACGGCGAGAAGGTAACGCTATAAAGTAATGTATCGGTTGTTGTTATAGATAAACAAAACCGTTAAACATTAAATTAATTTTCATTTTAAAGGCACACAGGAAGTTCTTTAATACAGCTAGTTTCTCTTTCCCTGATGGTGACGGACCAACATTATTTTATTTTCTAGATAATACTCCTGGCTCAAGCCGGATTCCAAACCACCGGATTACGATAGTTTCAAGTAGTTTTACAATACAAAGGTATTTAGCAGGATCTGAACCATTACATAAGTTCAGAAGTCTGTAAGCTCTAACAACTAGATCAGCTGCGCGTTGTCACATGGAAATCATAGTAGATCATCTGTAATCACCCAACCCACCCATACCTGCCCTGCTTAGCATAGCCGGGATTTGAGAACCACACGATCTGCATTACCTACATTCAACTGAACTGCGTTACCTACATCACCCATCCAAGCCTCCCCCGTTATAGCGGCAAAGATGACAATCATGTGAACTACATTACCGACACAAGTCAGTGCTGCTCTGCCTAAATATCCGCAATACTTTCCCACCCAAACCTGCTCTGTTGATAGAGCGGAAAAGCTGAGAACCGCGTGCACTGTTTTACCCACACACGCTAGTGCTGCTCCTAGCGGTCATCTGCATAACTTGTAACGGTATTGTTAATTAATTACCACTCGGTTATTGGCGCTATGAAACGTGTTATATTGATCGCTGTCGAGGCCTACTCTCTGTACTCTCAGCTTATTAGTCTCATAGTCTGTTCAAACCAGTCTTATCAATTTATACAACTTTTGGTAGGGCATTGATTGAGGCTTCCAGGTGTAGGCTAATCCATAAAAGGGTTAACTATTCAATTTCGTTTTCGTTATTGTTAATGCAAAGATACAGAGGGTTATTTTTTACCTTTGTAAAAAAATCCTAAGGCATGAAACGTGTATATCAACTTTAATCAAGGCAATTGTAGCAATTGTAGCAACCAATATTATTTGGGGAATCTTATTTTAATATTAATACATAGTTACCTATATGTTATTTCTTTTTTCTGGTTTGCTATGTGTTAGTACAATTTAATGAGAGGAGAATATTGTTTATCTGTTAATGACAAATATTCTTCATATATTTCGAGCAACATTTTAAGTCATTACATATCAACAACTCAACATGTACCGTAAATAATTTTCTCGGACGAGGAGGCTGTCTCTGTAGTGCACGATTTTCTAAAAAAAGCTCAAGCGATATTTAGTGGTCGTATTACAAATTATTAATACGAAATTATACGTGTAATTACGGTAATAATCAAGGAATAATAATAATCTTAAAAATATACTTGGTGTTAGAATCTGAAATGTAAAAATTGGCTTGTCGGTAACAAGACGGGGCTGGTAACAAGAGACATCAAGACAGCAGAAACTGACGTATGATGAGACAGCAGCAGCTAAGGTGGCTTTGTTCACACTACACCTAACACTGAATATACTGAGGCAATGTAATGTCAAAGTTGACTTGTTGGTAACGAGAGACATCAAGACAGCAGAGACTGACGTATGATGTGACAGCAGCAGCTAAGGTAGCTTTGTTCACACTACACCTAACACTGAATATACTGAGGCAATGTAATGTCAAAGTTGACTTGTTGGTAACGAGAGACATCAAGACAGCAGAGACTGACGTATGATGTGACAGCAGCAGCTAAGGTGGCTTTGTTCACACTACACCTAACACTGAATATACTGAGGGAATGTAATGTCAAAGTTGACTTGTTGGTAACGAGAGACATCAAGACAGCAGAGACTGACGTATGATGTGACAGCAGCGAGCAGCAGCTAAGGTGGCTTTGTTCACACTACACCTAACACTGAGGTGGCTTATTTTACATTCTTGCTTATTTTGTATCCCTATTTGAAAAAAAAAACAGAAGGTGAAGTATAAATGTTTTACGCTTACTATTTTCGTTAAATAAATATGATTAGCTTGGACGACGAAAATTTAGTTAGGATATGGAGCACCTGAAACAGCTGTGTTTATTTTGCAAAATGGTATGATGATATGTTATCAACGTTATCAAGTCATGTTTGAAATCACGTGCTTTAATTACAAATTACCAACAATCACTTATTTATACATTCTGGATAAAATGTATAAAAATTCAACACGGAGGGTAAAATTAACTAATATTACGTAGCTAAAACAACAGCAATACTTCATGACTTGACACACAATACATTACAATTTACGTGAAAATATTTCAATTGTGCTTCGTATTGGCTGAGCCACCAAACCAGCTTTATACAAAGCAATGATCATATTAAATTGTATGATCTAATCTGTCCAACCACTATCAATAAATCAAATTACGCTAATTAATTCGTCTGTACCACCATGATAACCTCCAAACTAATTATGAACATTTGCAACTGCGTGTTGAGAATCAAAAG